ACTTTGCAGATATGGAGAGATGGTGAACGATGCATTTCAATCGATCATGTTCTTTCAATTCTGCACGAGTCTGTCAATGATCTGTTTCAATTTCTATCGAATAATGCAAATAGAAATGGATTCAAGATACATAGGTACACTTCTGTACATGGTGTGCTCGTTAATGCAGATATTTTATTACTGTTGGTTCAGTAACGAAGTCAAGCTCAAGGTTCGTTATTGCCAAGTGAAAAATACGATGGCACATTATGATTTTTTTTTCTTCATTCTACAGAGTTTGGAACTTTCTGATATGATATTCAGAAGCAATTGGACATCGTTGAATAGCAACGTTCAGAGGGCCATTCTATTGGTAATGAGGCGTTCAATGAAACCCATTGAATTTACCAGCATTTACATTGTATCCGTGAATCTTGATTCCTTCATGACAGTCAGTATCCCTTTTTTCTTCTTCTTACGCATATCTGCATATTCAGTTGTACAATATATTTACGTTATAGTTATTGAAAAGTTCATATTCAGCGTTCAGTGTGTTGCAACAGAGCCGAGAATCGTAAAAACGAGCAAGAAAATTTGCTCAACGTAGAGCCGTCTTTCTTCGATTCTTCCTGGTGGAGTAGATCAAGAGAAGAGAAGAAAAACTATGTTCCTAGATCGAGTAAAATACTCTAGAAATAATATACAAAAGTATATCGAGAAGTAAATTTTAATAAATCATGTGGAAATATAGATACTATTACGCACTTGTGTAATAAATTTCATCTTCTGTCAATTTCTCTTTTTCTTCCTCACTATTTTCTCTTTTCTTTCACTTTTATTCGAACGTACGATGATCACTTATCTGTTTCACTCTTGAAACGCAACTGAACTCGTATTAATTCCACATGTAAATAAAACGATACGCTCGGGAATAGAAATTGACTGGTATAGATATAGATCCTGTGTTGTTATTAAAAATGTAATTACATAAGGGTGCATTTAAATTACTCGTGTCACTTGAATCGTCGAGTTGAACTTCAGTTAAATGGTAGGGATGCATCGTAACACGCACTATAATGATCCTTATATGGTCGGTAATTACGATAATTACGCACAATGAGAAAAGAAGGAAACAGGAAAGAAATATCGATATTTTATAGTTGATGACATGAAATGTTTAAAAATAAACAGAGAAACAGTAAAAATAGAAACAGCTCGTTTATAAATTACGATTAGAATGAAATGAAATATCTTGTCAATGCTTAAAAATATTTATTTAAAATGATTTGCATTGAACGCTTTATCTTTGACTTTCTTTATAATCGTGATTTGTAAAAAAATAATCCTCGAAAATAATCCTCCGTGAAACTTTAGTGCTTAATTTTTCTACAAAAATAGAAATATTATTATAAAAAAATAGCGGAAAATAGGAAGAAAAAATAATGTAAAGGAACATAGAAATCGATAACAGTAAATACTTATGTACTTACAGTTGTCAGCTTGTTTTTAAAAATGTAATTCCTCGCGTTATATCGTTGCATCGCAGTAATATCAGTAATTACGATAATTGCATAGGGGTAAATTCCAAGAGAAAACTGTCCCATTTGACAGAGCGCAAAGAATATTGGCATCTTATAATGGTTGGTAACACTTAATGAAAGAGCTATCCTCTAAAGGTATCCTTTGTTTTTATATATCACGATTAGAAATATAAAATTACTCGTTTAATCGAATAATATTTTCCTTTCTTTTCATTTTTTAAAATGTATTGTATTTTATTATTATTTGTTGAAAAATCCTATTGGTAGAATTTATCGAAATGTAAACGGAGGAGAAGGAAGATTGAAAATTTTGATTATTTGGTCCCGATTTTGATTTATATTTACAAAAGCAAGATAAATCATATTCATAATTAATTTAAAATGTACTTACTGCGATGGACATTCAAGCTTTTCGTTGCCACTGGATACTTTTTATCACCGAAAGTCAAATCTCCCACAAAACGATTTCTCTACAATGTATACACCGCCGTCGTGACATTATTTTTATTAAGTTTCTTGCTCACGTTAATTATGCAAATCGTTTTCAACGTGAAAACTGCGGATGAACTCAGTAAAAATTTCGGTATAACCATCACGGTATTCACCACCATTTGTAAGTTTATCAACTTACTATTCCGACGAGGAATTATCATAAGTTTATTGGATTTGTTGCAAAAGGAACCCTTCTTGCCGATGAACATAGAAGAAATAAAAATTCACACGAAATACAACAAGTTAATCGAGTAAGTTTTCCCTTCTTCTTCTTCTTCTTCTTTTTTTTTTTGATATATGGATCAAACAAAGATATTGTTCGACTTTTTTATTTGTTTTTACAGGAAAGTGAGTATTTTTTATACATTACAAAACATATCCTGTCTAGTCGCTTTGATTGGCGCCACATTAATCACCGATTTCAAGAAGAAAAAATTAACATTCGAGGCTTGGATACCTTTCAATTATACTGCCTCGTGGTTTTTGTTCTCTTTAACTTTTATTCATCAGTGTGCGTGCGCGATAGTCACTTCTTTTGGTATCAGTATCTTCGATACCCTATTCGCCGGCCTCCTACTTCAAATATGTTGTCAATTGGACACGCTTGTACACCGATTGCAAAATATCAAAGAAGACGCGATTCGATCGTTGAAATATTGCGCGCGTCAACACGAATTGATATACAGGTTTGTGCTCTGTATACGATTAATAAAAATGATTGATAAAAAGCGGTGAAATTATATTTACCTCGTTTCAGATTCACCGAATTGATGAATAAATTGTTCAGTTCAATATTGTGTTTGCAATTTTTGATTAGCGCTGTCGCAATATGCTTTAGCGTTTATCGGGTAATATATACGAAAACAGATTCACAATTTGCTGGAGCGATAATATTTGTTTTTTCCGCATTAATTCAAATCTTTTACTTTTGCTGGCACGGGGATATAGCAAAATACAAGGTGCGTAATTACGATCTCTCTTGTTCCTTTTGCAGAAACGATATTTCAATCATTTTTTTTTTATCTACGCAGAGCCTTGAGATTCCCGACATGATATTTAATAGCAATTGGCCGAATTTGAACAACGACGCTAAGAAAATTCTCTTGATAATCATGGCACGTTCATTGACGCCTGTCGAGATCGTCAGCGCTCACATTATACCCCTTAACCTGGAATCTTTCAAGGGTGTCAGTATATATACGTAAAAAAAATTATATACATATTTTGTATTATATTATCATAGAATACTTTATAATATTGTAACGATTTTAGAATTTTTGGATAGTATTTTTCTTTTTTTTTTTTTTTTAATCTTTTAATCGTCCAGGCAATCTTAGATTCATTATAAAATTTTACCTGCGCGCTGCTTTCGAATAATTTTATATTATTTTATAAATTTTCTCGATCTAATTGTTGCAGGAAATGTGTATTTTATAATATATTATATTCTGTTTGTTATAGTTGATAAAAGCTACTTACTCGGCGTATAATATGCTGCAACAGACTAAGTAGAATTTATGTGGTTAACGTTAGTGGCAACGTTTTCTTCTGTTCCTTTGTGGTCCATGGAATAATAATGATAAAAGAGAAGGAAAACAAGCTATTCGAATAAATAAATTATGTAGCTTTCAGATGTAATAAATTTATTATAAATTTAATATTCAAATGAGATTTGAAATTTGAAATTTCAGAATGGGAATTTATTATAAAATTCTGAAACAATTTCAATGGAAAATTATCTATAACCAAGCAAATCTACCAAAAATCTGATTATAAAAAAAATTATTATTTCAAGTAAAAATTCTTAAATATTAGTAAAATTATATTTACCTGATTGGTCATAAAATTTGAACGAAAATTGATTAATTTATTTAATTTGTTTTTCTCATTTATTTTTTTTTATTATGAAACCAATGTAAATTATAATCTATAATTCGTAATAAAAAATATCTTTCTCATATAATAATTTGCGCTTTCTGTTTTACAAAATTGTTCATAAAATATTATAAAAAATAATATCTTTTTTTATAATATTAATTATAATTTTTTATAATATTTTTTTAATTATCATAAAAAATAATATATTTTTTTTATTACTTACGAATTTCAATTTCTCGTTCGTCGATTAATTCTCATCAATGTGCCGCAACCTTCTGTCTCCTGCGAACGATAACGGTAAACTGAGAGTCTGTAGAGTATTCCATACTCTATTGTTTATTAATTTTCGTTGAGGGGAGACATATAATAGTCGCTGACTCATTATCTATTTCCGGTTTCACAAATTCGACCCTTTCTTCATGTTTATCGACATGGTATTTCGCCTTCAATCGATATTATATTGGAAAATTCTTTCGCGGAAAATTGAAAATGTATCTATGATATATAATCGTGAATAACAACTATCAACCGATCAAATCGACAGTCATCAATTGCGAGACTTTAGAAACAAAACTTCGATTTCGATTGCAATTCTGTTTCTATTGAAAGTTTGAAACTAGGAAATAATTATCTTATCTATATCTTATCGTAACAATGGTGTAAGTATTGGTTATGTAATAATAATTACGATGCATTAGGCGGAGGAAAAGATCAATGGAAATAAGACTGGTCGAATCTAAGAAACGATACGCAGTCGAAAATAGTTTGTTCATAGTGCAACTATCAACAAGTTTTTATCGATTGTAATTAAACACCTCAAATCCGCACAATTAAATTTTTCTACGTTTCTATTTATATCTTCTTCCTATTGAAAAATAAGAAAAAAAGAAGAATAAAGATACGTTTCAAATCCCTCTGATAAGATTCCTTTTTTTTTCACTAACTTTTTAAAGAAAAATTTTGATACTTTTCGCATCTAAAGTCGAATAATCTTCGTCGAGAAAGTTTTATCGTCTTTTAAAAGAGAGTTTAAACGGAAATAAGTAATAGAATGCACAAACTTTCTCTGTCGTTTGCTCTGCTCACTTACGGTGGCTATTGGAGGCCAACAAAATGGCCGGCTTCCTCGTACAAATATCACCTATACAACATTTACTCGGCATTTATGATTTTCCTCCTATATTTTATCACGTTCTGTACTTGCGTGGATTCGTTGATCAGCAAAAACTTGAAGACAATGAGCGAAAAATTTTCCCTCTGCATCTCGGTCCTAGGTGTTTCTCTCAAAGTGGCCAACTTGTTCCTTCAACGAGGAAAAATTATAAATATAATGAACAGTCTGACGAAGGAGAATTCCATTCCAAGGGACGAACATGAGAAAATCATTCAACGAAGAAACGACAATTACGCAAGGTTGTTTTCATTAAATTGATAAAAATTTCTTCTCTGTCAAAATATCTCTTCACGGATTTATTTCTCTTTAATCGTTTAACCTGTAGATGAAGCCTCGCTATCCGTAAAATTTTTTTCTTCTAGAAAACTGACCATATACTGCGAGATTCTGAACGAATCGGCAGTGTTCTTCGCGACCGTGGGTCAATATAAAACATTCATAAATACCAGGACATTACCCGTATCCGATTGGATACCATACGACTTATCCTCGTCAGAATTGTACACGATATCCCTGTTGTATCAAACAGTTGGACTGTTGATCTGTGCGAACGCGAGCGTGGGCAACGAGACCCTGATTGCCGGATTGATGATACAAGCTGGCGTGCAGTTTGAGATATTTTGTCATCGAGTACAAAATCTGTCCTCCCTGTTGACGGTAACAAGAAACAGCAACGTGTCCAGAAAGGATCTGAGGATAAGATATAATAAGATTATTGGGGATTTGGTTCGACATCACCTTGAAGTATACGAGTAAAAATATATAAATTTGCCATTTTTATGTATTTAGTAATAACTAAAAATTAGAAACGATCTCGTATTACGATTATCATTACAGATTTGTCCGAACGGTGAACACCGTGTTCCAGTACATGATTTTTCTACAGTTCTCCATAAGCTCGGTGGTTTTGTGCCTGAGTATCTACAAATTTTCAACGGTAGATCCGTTGAGCATGAACTTCGTCTGGAGCGGCTTCTATTTGTGCTGTATGCTTATGCAGGTGTATTTATACTGCTGGTTTGGGAACGAGGTGACGTTGAAGGTTGGCACTGTCTTTCGTTTCTACTCGATTATTATATGCTCGAGTAACATTAACACGAATAAAAAATTGATAGACAGGTGGAAATGAATATTTTCCAATAGCAAAACGTTGATTAATTGCACAAGAATAATAATTTTTCAATTTCTCAATTACGATGCGATTTGTCTACGCGTTAATTTTTTTCGTAATCAATTCGTTGGTTATATATATTTATAGAGTAATAAAGTAAGCGATGCTATTTACGAAATGGATTGGACGATACTTCCTTCTAACGTAATGAAGGATTTATTGCTCGTTATAGCAAGATCTAAGAAACCGGTGAAAGTAACCAGTGGTCAGATCTTTACCTTATCCACGGAATCCTTTATGAAAGTTAGTTGAATAGAGTCGAACAAATGATTAAGCTTTGTTATATGTTATAACGATTCTAATCAATTGTGAATTGTAGATCATGAAAATGTCATACTCCTCGTTCAATATTCTGAAAAATTCAACGAAGTAAAAAAATTCAATCGTTACCGCTTTAATTTTTATCTATATATATATAATTGTTCTCGTTCCAATTATACTTTTTTATAATTATCGTAAGAAGTATTTGTGTATCCTTTTTTTATCGTAGCGCATTATCACACACTTTCATCGATGTATCTACTCGTCACAAGCAGAGTGAAATAAAAAAAAAAATAATAAAAAGAATTGATCATCAAGAGTTGTATCGATAACGAATTAGAAAAATCGGTCATCGAGTATCCATCCACAGAATTCATCATTCGTGATATTTTAATTTTATCGCATTGTAATCCAAGACAGAGATTTTTAATAGAATTAGTCGAGACATTGAACAACTTTTCTACGTTTAATAAATTTTTTTCAATGCTCTGTCCAATGTCTCTGGCTTACTTATCAAAGCCACCATATTTTTAAGCATTAAGAATTCTTAACAATATTTTTATCCGACTAAAATGTTACGCAAGTTTATTTATCGTTCTGATTGATTGCTCGATCGTATTCGGACGACTAACGCGAAAGGAGGATAACTGGAGGAAAGTTGTGATGAACTGATTCGAGAAGCATTCAAAGCATTCAAAACATTCGCTTTGGAAGAATCGATTTCTTCGTGATCATCGATAATATTACACGTTTATCGCCTTTTTTCAAGGTTGGTTACGCGAACCACTATTTCAAAAGTTTATTGTTTCTGCCCCTCCGACTTGTAACTAGTTAAAAGTGTGCTGTTCGGTGTATGTAATCGAAATACTCGAAAATAATAACGATCGACGAGATGTTTTCGATCGTGCGTCGAATGGCCGGTGAAAAATGCCTTATCAAAAATTATAAAATAAACCTTCTCTAATTATTCATTAGATACAAAAGTATATCATATCTTATCATTACTATATATCTCGAATCATCGACGAAGATAAAACTGAAACATAGTAAATGGAAACATCAGTTTCAATTTCTCTGGTTTCGTAACACATCGATCTATATAAATTCGATAAAATCGATGGATCCAGCTAGCCCGTTCCGATCGAAAGGTGAGAGAAATTTTCGAGGAGGCGCGAGCAGAAAATAAACGTGCAGGGCCCCACCCCCGTAGAACTTTCTGTGGCGGTCCATTTTTGGGCTCCCCACCTTGGGAGCTTCGCTTCGATTACCGCGTCCTCGCCGAGGAAGAAGCTTTTCGAAGCACCCTCGGGACACTCGACTCGCGCCACTCTACTCGCTCGGGTTAGGTAAGTGAATTATCACGAAGATTCATTCTCGACGATCGCTTCTTCTCTATTCTCTACCTGTTTTTCTTCGCTTCGTTGTCGATGATGACCAAGCTTGTTCCGATATCTTGTGTTCGCGACGCGAGTGTGACAGGAAGAAAGAAAGAAAGAAAGAAAGAAAGAAAAAAAGGAATGAAGGAAGGAAGAAAGTATGTGGATGAACGTGTGCGTGGGATTTTCACTCGCGCATAATTTACAAACACGTGGAGAGTTCGAGACGTTGAAGACTTTGATCTTCGACGAGAGGAGCTTCTTTGGTGAAAGAAGAGTATAATTCGACTAATCGTTAACTGTTTCGTTGCTACGAAGATAAACGACTGCTACTAATGGAGCTGCTTCGACGACTAACAAACGTTTCAGTCTCGAGAAAGAGCATCCGTTCGAAACAGTGTCACAGTTTAGGAAGGCTATGGATTTAATACGCTTTAACTTCGAGGAATTTTCATCTCGAAGGCTTTGTAGGCAAAGCTTTGATGTTTCGCTTTGACAATGCTTGTAAGTAGCTTTAATCCTGTAACATCGCTTAACAAAATTTCTTCGAGTGTAAAGTAAAGCTCTTTTATACGATAAGATTTTTTTTGTTTCTTCTAATCACGAGATAAACCAGATAACAAACCAGATAACAAAAGACATCCGATAGAAACGTAAACGAAAAATCCTGAAAAGAACGAAATGTTCTGTTCCACTTCGCGGCAAAAATAAACCGGTTGCCATCATCGAATCGTTTCGTTTACGTCTGCTATTTTCAACCGCAGAACATTCAACGCTTTCAGTCACGATTCCGTTCGTATTTTGAAAAACTAAGATCGATATCGATTGTGATTATCGATGAATTATCGATAATTAATTGTAATCGATGTTACAGTACAGCGTATACACCAAACTATCCACATCGATCGATCGCCAGTAGTTTCAGTGATTTAAATGCTTGCAGGAAGATCGACAGGAAGCGGAACGCTTTCGCCACATATTAACCGCTGCCAATTAACAACAGCATTTTTAACAGCTTCGAGCAAATTTGCTTTCGGATTTAACGTAACGCAATGTCGTAAGTAGCATTAATAACAATTCAATCTATATTAATTAATCCCTCGGCCATTTTCTAACGCGACCAAAATCCACCTATTAAAGATCTAACGATACCTGCCCGAGATTAAATAAAGAATCCGTTATTGTTATTGACCATCAAGGATCCGCTTTGTCACGTCACTTTGGCACTCGTGGGTGACCAAATATTGAAACTTTCCAGGTGCTATTAATATCGACAAAAAGGGGTCGAACGTAGCCCCATTCACCCATCGAAATGCTTCTTTCTTTACTATCTCGTATCGCTCCGGAAATCCTATCTAAAATCCTATCTTTAATCGATTGAACCTCTTCAACAACAGAGTTGTCCAAATAAATAATGCAATTGTATATAATCAACAATGGATACTAGATCCGGGTGATGATGCTCGATCTTTATCAATTTCAAAATAATAAAAATAGAACGTGATGAAAAACTTGTGCCTCAGGGTCGGTCGTAAGAAATCCTAAGAAACGAATATGCAGGATCGAGATCGCGAGATCGCGAGGTGGCGACGATGATTTCGTAAATGCTATTAATACGCGGCAGTTAGATCGAATGTCGGTCGTTGGTGGCGGCCAAGTAAAGCCCGTTCTTCTGGGTTACGCTCGTGCTTTTTGGCCTCCTCGTCTCGCGCCCTCTCCTCAACGCCGGCCGCCGTCTCCTCTCTTCGTCGTTCCGCGCATATTTATAGAGCCCGCCTATGGATGCTATTTCCGTAGACGCACCGATGTGCCCCGTTCCTCGTCATCGCGAAGCCGGACGAGATATCATCTGCCTTCGGATTATGACTCGCGCAACTCGCTCAATTCGTGAAAATATACGCGAGCCGAGCCGCGTATTTCGTCCACGCGCGCTCCTTCGCCTGTTTTCAAGGCCAATTATTACAGTCACCGCCAATTATTCCATCTTTCGCGCGAAAGAATATTTCGAAAGAATATTTAAGGGGACGACGATGGTATCGTTGAGGTGCCGAGGTTATCTTTATCCCAAAACATTTCCATTTCGACACCTCATTCTCGTCTCTGTTTGGAAAGTAGGCAAATTTTTAATTATTAATTTAATCCTTGTCGAGATAAGGATTCTGAGTATCATCGCTAACGTCATTAACGGAAAAGGAATGCGCCAAATCGCCATGCCTGACTGCCATCGTTTGGAACTTTCCTATACCTCTAACGCTATCTGATCCGAATGAGATTGCACGATCTATCGGGCGGTCGTTAAACGAAAGGGAAATGGAAAATTTCAGCGAACTCGATAGTTTCTTGAAGGAAGGGAAAAAGGAAAAGCCGCCACCATGGACGCGATCAAGAAGAAGATGCAAGCGATGAAGCTTGAGAAGGACAACGCGATGGATAAAGCCGATGCCTGCGAGGCGCAGGCGAAGGAGGCGAATATGCGCGCGGACAAGGTGAACGAGGAGGTCGGCGAATTGCAGAAGAAGCTCGCCCAGGTGGAAGGCGATCTCGAAGCGAACAAACAAAATTTGGAACAAGCGAACAAGGATCTCGAGGAGAAGGAGAAAGCTCTGACCAACGTGAGTATGTTCCTCTTAACGTCCCCATTTTTCCCCAAATTTTTTTTTGTCCAACCTCTCTCGAACGAGCGAGATCCAATTTATCTTGGACCAGATCCAAATGAATTTTTCGCCGGGAAATTTTATTTATATTTATATACGATGGTTCCTTCAAGATCGATGAATCACATTTTACGACGGCACGATCTTACGAACGACTCGTAACTCGAAGAATCGTTCCTTCCTCTTTGTTCCTTCGTTTCTTTTTAGAGGGTCAATGAGTCACGGGAAGGTTTTAATTTCAGGCCGAGTCCGAGGTCGCCGCTCTCAACCGAAAAGTACAACTGATCGAGGAGGATCTGGAAAGATCCGAGGAACGATTGAACACCGCCACTGCCAAATTGGCCGAAGCTTCTCAGGCCGCTGATGAATCCAGCCGGTAAATCTTTAATGAAATATATCAATGGATCGTAATATCGTGTCGATAAGATAAGGGGTGGAGCTACGTTAACGAAATGCAATTGCAGTATGTGCAAAGTATTGGAAAATCGTGCACAGCAGGATGAAGAGAGGATGGATCAGCTGACCAATCAGTTAAAAGAGGCACGTCTGCTTGCCGAGGACGCTGATGGAAAATCGGACGAAGTATCGCGAAAGCTGGCCTTCGTTGAAGATGAGTTGGAAGTCGCTGAAGATCGAGTCAAGTCTGGTGAAGCGTGAGTCTTTTCAATCCTCGAAGATCGCCGGCCAATGAATAATTATTTCCACTTAAATAGTTCCGTCTTAACGTTACAGCAAGATCATGGAACTGGAAGAGGAACTGAAAGTCGTCGGTAACAGCTTGAAATCTCTGGAAGTATCCGAAGAGAAGGTAAGATTTATCGCGTCTCTGTGATTTCCATGAAATAATTCGTTTTGGATTGGGATACGATTAGGCCAATCAAAGAGTCGAGGAATTTAAACGTCAGCTCAAGACTTTGACGGTGAAACTAAAGGAGGCCGAAGCTCGCGCTGAATTTGCTGAGAAAACTGTCAAGAAACTCCAGAAGGAGGTCGATAGGCTCGAAGGTAAGCTTTTAATTTTTTTTTTTTTCTTTTTCCTCCATCTTTTGTTACGTCATGTTTAAATATAACGATTTAAATACTCAAATTTCAAATAAATTTTCAAAGCTCGTTTTATAAATATGCGGGTGGATTTATTTTTCTTAAAAAATATTCATTATTTTGTTACCGCAGAATATTTTCAGAGTGCTTTTGTACCGAATTTAAACGGGTATCTGATGTAATTTGGCAAAATGACAACAACACTTCCATTATCCGATGTTCTACC